TGACCAACAGAATCCAGGCTAAATTAATGAACTCTGATGACAATTTTTTTCAACGAAATTTCCAATATATTGGGAGCGCAGTATAGTTGAAAATGGAAAACTTTAATGAAATTACAAGGAGTACCAATGCACTGCTCGTTATAGAACTGAGCCAATCCAGGAAAGTTAAATGGAAACAAATAAGGAGGCTACAGAAACCCATAGCCTAGTGGAGAGGAAAAGAAATCACTCCTAGAGTTTTTACTCAGTATCAAGCAATCTTAGCCAGGAAGAAAGGACATGCGGTGAAAATAGGAAGGCACTCAGCTGTGCTGCAACCCTTGTCCACAGCCAAACACCTTGATGACACTATGGGTCAAGCACATTGCTGATGCCAAAGGTTAAGTAGCATCCCAACACCAAGAGTCAAAGCTTACACGTGAGTAATGCTCGAAGGGCTCTGGAGGTCAAACAACACTAGTGGAACTAAACTCCAGCAACTTTGGCAGAGAATGGGAGATAATAAATCTTTTTCTAAACTAGGTGCCTCAGGTTTTCACCAAACCCTTAAGGGTAAAAGCAATTTTGTGGACTTAAAGAATACTATTGCTGAAATTATAATCCAGCAGCAGCTCTCAGTATGAGCAGGGCTTTGAATGCATTTAAAAGGCAATTTTCACCTTCCTCCATCTTACAGTGGCTGAAAATTCCAACACATAATTCCCTGAAGTGCTTTTCGGGAGCCTCATCATTTTTAACTTTGGAATTTTTATAAGCAATTACCCAGCACTTTCACCATTACATCATGAGGCACAGCTACAGTACCACTCATTAGCATGAAATAGTCAGACAATATTAAATTTTCTGGGCATTGATAATGACGACTTTGGATGAATGCACTGGATGGATGTACTGTGCTTTGGGAAAGGGCTAGGTAAGAGTTGTTTCAGCGTCAACCTAAACACACTATCAAATTTTGCATCATATCTCCCCACTAGACTTTGTTTCTCCAACCTACTGGATAGTCTTAAAATGTGCATGCAAATACAAAATGCTCTCACATAGCAATTATAGTGCCGGAATACATTTACAAATGGCTTATGTCTAAGCTTGAAGTGACCTATCAATAACCATAAAACGCTAGAACTGGAGAGTGGTTCAGCTTGCCTTTAGTTGGAAGGATGTCAAACCCTATGAGTTCTCAGCAACATTCATCAAAATGATGCCATTTAAATGACACGAGTTATGTGCGGTTGATGTTGTCATTGCAGAATGCTGTGGATGGCTCTCTGAAATGCAGCTGTCTAGGGAATGCTGTGTATTGATGGAATATGCTTTACAGCTTCATCAGACATTTTCACTGACTCCTTAATAACTGGAAATTAAGTGGGTGGAGCCAAATGGTTCCAGAGGAATTTACAATCTAAGGCAATGAAAACGTGGTCCAATTCACCAGTCTGCATTAATGTTTGAAAGCATAAATAATTACCTGCTTGCTCACTGGGGGAGCCAGTTGTTGGAAAACCATGGACACCGCACAGGGTACATTAAAATAAATTGGCCCTTCCCAGTCACATCCCACGAAAACAGACCTCCCAATAGCCAAAGGTAACAATATTAGTACAGCTTCAAATCATATTGCAAAGTGAAAGCCAGATGTGACAAATGTTGGGAAAGAAACAGAGAAAGAAAAAGAAAAATAGAGGAGAAAGAAAGGATTGGACTGTCTGAATTTCTCTGCTCCTTGTTCACTATAACCTATCTCTCACTAAACTTTCGGCATTCAATTCACACGAGCCAAAGGCTAACATCATGACTAAACCTCTTGGTAAGGTAATGCTGTTTGTTATTTGTAAACAATCTCTATCTTGTGGAGGCTGAACCCACCAAACCCCTGACATCTTCTTCCTCCCTTGGGTCATGGTCCCTTTATAGTTTCCAAGGCTGTCACTGACCAACACCACTGGAAATCTTCCCCTGCAGGGCCTTCAGTCCCAAACAGACCGCTTCTCCCTCCTTCTCAAGATTCACAAATCAGAATGTTCTGGTGCTCCCATCATTCAACAGGTTCTAGCCCACAGAACAGAATTCTTCCTAACTTGCCTTTCGCCATATTTTCCCCTTGTCCAGTCTCTTCCTGCCTATACCGATGAATCTTCCAATGTCATTCCAACATCTTAACTTCTTCCACGACCTAACATTTCCTTTTCACAAAAGATGTCCAATCCTTCTACACCTCTGTCCTCCCACAGGATGACATGCGATTAATTAGCTTCTTCCTGGAATGAATGATCAAGCAGTCTCCAACCACCATCTCCTTATGTCTGTTTAAAGTTGATCCCACACTGAACAACCCCTCATTTGACTCCATTCACTTCTTTCAAATAAAACTCCTTCTATAGGAATGGCTTAGGTGAGCCTGCCTTTTTGCAGGATATTCTTTGCTCTACTTCTTGGAACTAGGGTCCCTTAATGGCTGAATTTCACTACTACATACCGGGTAGCATGAGATTTCACCTAACAGCTTTTATCGCAGCACTTAACTTTCCAAAGCTGTAGCATATGGAAACAATAGAGAAGATTTACAAGAAGGACTGAGGTCAACATGCTCCACTGAACCAGCATCAACAATTTATCTGGTGCCAAATGTACCCTATTATCAGCGTATTGTTTGGGAAAATAAGTAGTATTTGTTCTTTGAAAGAATGCTGAACTCACCCTCAGATAAAGGTGCGCAAGGAGACAATGGCCATCAAAGTCATGAGTAGCTGTCCCATGGCCATTAGCCAAAAGGGCTCAAGTAATTGATTGACACAGAGTAAATCAACTGCCCCTAGAAATATGACATAACAATTAGTTCTCAGGGCCAGAGGGCAGACCATATCAGCCCTCGCAGGCTGTGGTCCTCATCAGGCCAAGATCTGTCTTCTCGAGATAAAAGATTGGCCAGGAAAAGAAGAGGAAAATCCACGGAAGAGTTCACTGACACCTCAACTAGATCAGAAATCAGAGACAACAGGTTATAGTCCAACAAGTTTATTTGAAATCACAAGGTTTCGGAGCGTAGCCTCTTCGTCAGGTAAAGTGAGAGAGAGGCACACAGGCACAGACTTTATAGGCAGAAAGATCAAGGGCAGACAGATCAAAAGATCATACAAATGGTGTGGAACAAAAACAGAAGTTGCTGGAAAAGCTCAGCAGGCTTGACAGCATCTGTGAAGAAAAATCAGAGTTAACGTTTCGGGTCCGGTGACCCTTCCTCAGAACTGATGGTAGTTGGGAAAATGTCAATTTATATGCAGAGAATAGGGTGGGGGGAGGGGGTAAGGAGCAAACGATAGGTGGGGATAGAGCTCAAAAAGAGAGAAGAACAGTTGGACAGACCTGCTGGACTTTTCCAGCAACTTCTGTTTTTGTTCCTGAATTACAGCATCTGTAGTCCTTTTGTTTTCTTTTATACAAATGGTGTGAGTGGAGTGTTGAATAAGTCCCTGCAGGTGATCAAAAAAGTTTCCGATAGTTTGAGTAAAGTGTCAACAGCTGAATAACAAGTGAAGGGATGACCTATAATCCAATTAATTGAGGCAGAGAGACAATTACAAAAAAATTAAAAATAAGGTGGAGCTGGAGACAAACCAAATTACTGGAATAACATGATAGGTACAACAGTCGCATGCTGAGGGTTTAACCAAACTAACAAGTAATTAAAAATTGTACAAATTAATTAAGGTAGGGACATCATAACAATTTATCAAGGTGATGGTGTCAAAACAGGACAGTAAGGAAGATTTTACAGAGACACACTGTGTGGTGAGATCACAAGATCATGGTTGAGCCTTCTTCATGGATACGGAACTTGGCTATCAGTCTGTGCTCAGTGATTCTGCGTTGTCGTGTATCTCAAAGGATGCCTCGGAGGACGCTTACCCGAATATCGGAGGCTGATTACCCTTCACTGCTGAAGTGTTCTCCAACTGGGAGGGAACATTCCTGTCTGGCGATTGTTGCGTGGTGCCCATTCATCCATCGTCATAGCATCTGCATGGTCTCGCCAATATACCATGCCTTGGGGCATCCTTGCCTGCAGTGTATGAGATAGACAATATTGGCCAAGTCACATGAGTATCTGCTGTGCACGTGGTGGGTGGTTTTCCCACGTGTGATGGTAGTGTCCATGTCGATGATCTGACATGTCTTGCAGAGGTGGCTATGACAGGGTTATGTAGTGTTGTGGTTGATGTTGTTCTGAAAGCTGGTTAGTTTGCTGCGAACAATGATCTGTTTAAAGTTTGGCGGCTGTTTGAAGGCGAGAAGTGAAGGCATATGGATGATCTTGGCAAGATGCTCGTTGTCATCGATGGCAGGTTGAAGGCTGTGAAGAACATGGTGTAGTCTCTCAGCTCTGGGCAAGTACTGGATGATGAAGGGTACTCCATCAGTTGTACCCTGTATCTGTCTTCTGAGGATGTTGTTGCGGCTTTTCACTGTGGCACGTTGGAACTGGCGATTGGTGATTGAGCATTGTATCCCATTCTTATGAGAATGTCTTTCAGCATCTTTAGGTGTCTTTCGCATTCCTCCTTGTCTGAGCAGATCTTGTGTGTGTGCAGGACTTGCCCGTAAGGGATGGTTTCTTTCACATGCTTAGGCTGGAAACTAGAGAAGTGTAGCATCGTGATGCTATCTGTAGGCTTGCGGTACAGTGAGGTACTGAGGTGTCCATCCTTTTTGGAGATGTATGTGTCCAAGACTGATTCTGTACAGTAGTCCATAGTAAGTCTGATGGTAGGATGAAACTTGGTGATCTTGCTATGTAGTCATTTCAGCAATTCCTCATCATGAGTCCAAAGGAAGAAAATGTCATCGATGTAGCTGGTGTATAGCATTGGTCGGGGATCCTGCACAGCAAAGAACTATTTCTCAAACTTGCGCATGAAAATGTTGGCATATTGGGGTGCAAATTTGGTCCTCATGGCTGTTCCGGGTGTCTGGATAAAGAACTGGTTGTCGAGGGTGAAGACATGGTTGAGGATGAGGTAAATGAGTTGTAGGATGGCATCCAGAAATTGGCAGTTGTTGGTGTTGAATACTGAGGCTGTTGCAACTATGCCGTTGTCATGGGGATGTTGATGCAGAGTGCCGAAACATCCATTGTGACGAGGAATGTTCCTGGTTCGACTGCTGTGTGTGTGCTGGGTTTCTGTAAGAAATCTGTAGTGTCACGACAGAAGCTGGGGCATCCTTGTACAATGGATTTCAAGATGCCCTCGACATAGCCAGAGATGTTCTCACATAGGATCCCATTGCCTGATACAATGGGATGTCCAGGTATGTTGGCTTTGTGTATCTTTGGAAGGCAATAGAAGTCTCCTATGTGAGAAGTACATGAGATGAGAGTGTGTAGGATACTTCTGAAGGTCTGGATCAATGGTCTTGATCAGGTGTGTTCTTTGGTCGGATCAGCAGGTAGTTGTCTGTAGCGTTCCTGGTTGTTCAGTTGTCGGTAAGCTTCTTTGCAGTAGTCAGTTCTATTCTGTATGACGATGGCTCCCCCTTTGTCTGCTAGTTTGATGACGATGTTGTGGTTGGTCTTAAGAACGTGGATGGCATAGTGTTGTGCTTGGGTGACGTTCTGCGCTACCTTGTGAGCATGGCTGATGAATCTGGCATTAACACATCTCCTGACGGTGTGTGCGTACATTTTGAGCCTAGGGCAGTGGCCTTCTGGATTGGTCCAATTTGATTCTTTCTTCTTTGTTCACTGCACCACGGATCTCTCTGTCAACTGTTATGATTCATTAGCTAGAGAACAAGCTGCTGCCTTCACAACTTTAATGTAACCAACACATTCCAAGTCAACAGCCTGGTATCAGTATACTCTGATATCAGTGAATAATCCTCAATTGCCATGGGTATATAGTTTCTTTATCTAATTAACTAATGTATCATATCTAGACTGCTGCTTTTGGAGTTCTGCAATTGGTAATTCTGCAATGCCCATTTACATGTTCTCTCAACAATGTCTCGTTACCATCTCTTTTTGCCTCGTGCCTCCATTCCTTTTGTCATTTTATCACGCCTGCCTTTCATCTGGTTACAGCCCTTTCCTTTCATTCCTACCTGCAACTCTTCCCTCCCCTAATTCCTTCCCTCTGTACTTCTGCAAAAACTGTTACACCTCTTACATTTTCTAGTCCTGAGAAAAGATCATAGGCCGAAAAGATTCTTTCTCCAGCAATGTTACCTAGCCTGCTGCGATTTTCCTGCATTTTCAGTTTTTGTTAAAGGAACGAAGAATTTCCGTTTACACAGTGCTACTCCTGACCTCAGAATGACGCAAAGTGCTTCAACAATTCGATTACTGTTGAAGTGTAGTCACAGTTGTCATGTCGGAAATCCAGCCTCTGGTTGCACACAGTAAGATCCCACAAACAGCAGTGAAATCACTAACAAAGTGGGCGGAATTTTATAACAACCTGAGCAATGAGAGCCCTGGCATGATTTGTGGCAGAATTGGCCAAGAAGTCCAGCAAAGCCTACCTCAACGTCAGGAGCACCTCGCTGTACATTCTGCATTTGCCGAGCTGGTCAGGTGGTTTTACACATTAGGCAGCATTGAGTTGCCAATTAAGGGGGACTCTCAGTTATTAAACACCTTGTTACCGCCACAACTCACCTCATTATTATCCAACTTCCTATCTTACTAAACATGCCAAACAAGCTAGACAGGGAGAATTATATACTTGGAAATCAAAGCGGGCACCTGGTAATTTCAGCTCACCACTGGCTACAAAGAACTTCCATGTTATTCAGCACCTCAGCGCATGACCCATAAGCACCAGCTGCAATAGTGATTCAGTACAATATGGTCCTCAACAATACCAACCAGAGAAGCCTTAGGTTTGAACTATACATTGCCGTGAGTCTCCTGACATTAGGTGGGAGCACAGCAATGAAATTTATGATCTATTCCAGATATGTGTTGCCACCACTGGGCAGCTACCAAATTGCAGAAATGCTAGGTGTGTCTGGACTTTGGATGGTAAGGAGGGAGGAGGTAACCAGAAAGGTGTTGCACCTTCTGTGATTGCAAGGCAAGGTGTCGTGGGGCTGTGGGAGGTGTGGGGAGTGGTGGAGGAGTGGACCAGGGTGTCCCAGTGCTAATGGTCCCTGCAGAAGGCTGACAAGGTACAGGAGGGGAATATGTGCCTGGTGGTCGCTTCTCTCTGGAGGTAGTGGAAATGGCATTTAATGTTCTTTTTGATATGGGTGCTAGTGAGGTGGTAAGTGAGGAGACACTATCGCTGTTGTAAGAGGGAAGAGAAGGGGGTGAGGACCAAAGTGCGGGAGAGAGGACAGACCCGGCTGAGAGTCCTGTTAATTACAGTGGTGGGGAATCCTTGGCTGAGGAAGAAAGTGGTTCTTTCTGAGGCCCTCTTGAACCATCATCAGAGCAGATATGACGGAGATGGAGAAAATGGGGAAAATGGAATAGAGTCTTTACAGGAAGCAGGGTGTGAGGATGTACAGTCAAGATAATGGATAGACAGAAATGGATACAGACATGTTGAAGATGGGAAGGGAGGAGTCAGAGATGAACCAAGTAATGGTGAGAACAGGGCGGAAATTGGATGCCAAATTCCAAATAAGTCTGGAAAAATGGTATGTAAGGGACAGGCATAACTGGGGCCGATTAGTTGGGATTCCAACTGAATTTTCATCCTTTGTGTTTTGAATCCACCCAGGATCACAGATATCTCGGTGATGTTCAATGTACTTCAGACAGCTGCTCTCTCCATATCCTGAGATCCACCCTCAGTGCAATGTGTCACCATACGCACACTCTCAGCCCCTCTCTCCATCAGCACCGCTTCACGCTGGCTCAGAGCTGTCCTGCCCCCCAGTTACACTTCATCCTCCAGTTTAATCAACATTCTAATAAGAACCTTTTTTCTTTTCTTTTCAGACATGAAGGAATGCAAAATGCAACAACTCAGAGATACCCAATGCCCCTCTGGAATCTTCCTCCCCTTAATGTCCCTCTGACTCCATCCCCTCTCCTAACCCCACTTCCTATTGTGTATTTACTATCCATTCTGACTTCCCACTCTCCAATGCTGAATGTTCTGTACTCACCAAAGGTCTTAGTTTTATTCCTCTCTGCCCCCACATGGATGAATTACAGCTATGAATTCATCTTCACCTCCGTGCCCATTTCTTTGGGCAAGAGACCTGTCCCTGTCCCATAGACCCCTTCATCCACCACCAACACTATCCCTCCACCTGGAACCCTCCATCTGATCTTTTACCTGTTGTTGACCTGTTCATTGAGAACTGTTGATGTGACATTGTTCACTTTAATTTCTCTGCCTCGCCTTATCCATTCGCGCCTATCTCCCTCAGAACTGACTGCACTCTGTGGTCCCCATTAGCAGCAATTGACTCTCCCAGACATTTACCCATTCCTTTGTCTGTCTACCTGCTGTTCTCTTTCTCTTTCATGGGCCCTATCTCCACCTATTGTTTACTCCTCCACCCTCCAATCCATCTGTCAGCATATATACCAACCTATTCCTAGCTACCATCAGTTCTGCAGAAGGGTCACTGGAACCAAAATGTTAATCTGATTTCTCTCCACAGATGCTGCCAGACCTGCTGACGTTTTCCAGGAATTTCTGATTTGAAGCATAGCTCCATTGTTTGTGTAAAGAGTGTGAATTCAGATAGCAAATAATCTTTCCAGTTCATGGTGGGGGATTTGGTATCCATCTTCCTGCTGTTGTTTTGTCTTTTCAGTTATATTTAACTTTATGCGATTTTTGTGCTTTCAATATTGTACTTGGTATTCCTTACTATATTTTGGCTTGGAGCTTCATTTCCAGCTCATTCTGCTAGTTTTGCACCATTCTTGAATGCAGCCTGCTTTACTTTGTTATATAGAGTCATTCAGCACAGAAACAGACCCTTCAGTCCAACCAGTCCATGCTAACTATAATTCCAAACTAAACTGGTCCCACCTGCCTGCTCCTGGCCCATAGCCCTCCAAACATTTCCTATTCATGAATTTATCTGAATTTCTTTTAAATATTGTAACTGTACCGACAACTACCACTTCCCCTGGAAGTTCATTCCATACACGAACTACTCTCAGTGTAAAAAAAATTGCCCCTTGTGTCTTTTTTAAATCTTTCTCCTCTCACCTTAAAAATATGGCCCCTAGTCATGAAATTCCCCACCTTGGAGCAATGACACCTGCCAATCACCTTATCTGTACACCTCATGATTTCACAAACCTCTATAAGGTTACCTCTTCAACCTCTTACACTCCAGTGAAAAAAGTCCCAGCCTATTCTATATGTTGTTTGAATTTGGACATACTTTATCTTTGTTCAGCATTGGGCTGATTCCTGATGGTCTTCACATTTGAAATAGTCTTCAGCTAGATTGGCTTTGAATCAGCTGGCCAGCTGAGCAAGCTTGGCCAAGTTGGTGATACTCTCAATTTACAAAAATCTCCCTCTCTTTTCTGTATTGCCGGAACTTCTGAATTGTTGATATATTTTTGTTGCTGCTGCTCTGCTTGGCTTTTAAACTTTCAAGATTCATTTTTTCTACATGTTGGTTTTGTTGTTTTTTAATGTAAAATCCTAGCTGGTCATCATGCAATAATATTCTTGCATTATGTAAATGTAATACTAATGAAGTAGATTCTGTTTATATGAAGATCTCTGGTGGATTTATTGATGACAGAACTATCAAATACAAGACAGTGTAATCTCCAGACATAGCCGGTGCCTTGAGTGTGACTGTGCAGAGAGCTTGTGGCCTGATAACATTTGGGCATTTAGCTGATCTGTATGAATGTTCCTCATTCCAAAGATGATAATGCGACCGTAAGAACAATGAGCAATGTATACCAGTCCTGCAGACAGATCTGGATGTCAGAGCGTGTGCATGCAGTATGACGCCTTAAAATGCATGTATGTAACAAGGGCTATGCATCTTGTTCTGAATGTGTGCCCTACAGCAAAATGGACAGTTCTCATTTAATTTAATGAACATAAAAGTTGGTAAAGGGGACAATATAAAACAGGCTGCTGACTCACCTGTTTTACACAATTGCAGGAAAGGCAACAACTAGTGTGTAATGTTTGGAAGTTTTGATGTAAATTTAATGCAATTGTGTGTGGACAAAATGTAAGCAAAGTGCTATGATAAGGATCATCAGTGACAGTCAGACTAAATTAGAGTTGAAAAGGTTATTAGCCAGCTATCTTACACATCGGACCTTCATGAGGTGCAAACTGACTAAGTGATGTGCTTCTACTGGGACCCGAAACGTCAGCTTTCCTGCTCCTCTGATGCTGCTTGGCCTGCTGTGTTCATCAAGCTCTACACCGTGTTATCTCATGCTTTAAGTGGTGCTGTGTTCACTGTGATAGCAGCTTGTATATGTAAAACACTAACTACTCAAGGCAGGGTCAGTGAAACAATAATGTGGATTCTTTATTCAAAGATGGTTGTGTATGTACACATAGTTCTTCACTGTACAGTTACTATGTTCAGATTGCTAACATACAGGAGTCACATGGTGCATTACATCACATTTCTTACACTGCTGTACATTCAAAACACAACCAAACCTAACTTCACCTGACAAAGGGGCAGTGCTCCGAAAGCTTGTGAT